ACTTGGTTTATTTTGGTTCGAATCTCATCTCCTGGAGCACAGAGAAACAAAGTCGTGTATCCCGATCGTCAACCGAGGCCGAGTACCGGGCTCTCTCGGCTGCTGCTGCTGAGGTGATGTGGCTCTCCTATCTCTTTGACATTCTGAAGCTCAAGCTCCCTCCACCACATCTCTATTGTGACAATCAGTGTGCTATCTGTTTAACCAAGAATCCAGTTTTTCACAAACGCATGAAGCATGTGGGTACCGATTGCCATTTTGTGCGGGAACAGGTCATTGCAGAACAAATGACTGTGTCGCATGTTCCGTCTGCAGAGCAGCTGGCCGACCTCCTCACAAAAGCCTTACCGACCCCACGCTATACTCTTTTGGTTTCCAAGCTTCCACTCGTTTCACGGCGTTCAGCTTGAGGGGGGATGTTAGACACTATAGTAATATTCCTAGTTATAGTAGAATTGTATTATAGTTAGTTACCATATTAGAAGAATCCTAATCCTAATTGTGTTAGGATCTCTAGCTATATATACTCACATGTATTCACCTCTATTGCTTAAGTAAAATCCATTAATTCATATTAATTCAACAACGGTGTTTCCAGAGAGTCTTAAAAATGGCCGACTGTGGCCTTGTAACGATCAATCGTACCTCTTCTAGTAGCTCCGAGTATTGGACAGTAGCCTTTTTTTGTCTACTTATTTAAGGTGATGTTAATGGACTCAGTATGGTAATATGATTGATATGAACATATTATCTTTGAGGTTAAATGATTAATGTTGAAAGTTTAGATGTGAGTGATTTAGGTGTTTAGTATGTATGTACATAAGGTCCCAGAACCGGTTAGGTTCCCGGGGTTTATTCAACTCGTGTGTTTGGAACCAGAAGAGTATTTATACCCATATTGGGAAAGGCCACGAACCAAATTGTGATCTTGAAGAGAAGGGCGCTCGGACCCAGACTCAGACGGGGGAAGTCTTATCGAGTTCTTTCTCTACAGATATTGACTCTACAGGATGGCTAGAATTAAAGGGACTAAATGATGGAAAAGGATTAAGGACATGATATTATTCTTTAATATGATATGATGGATTTATGAAAATGAAATGGTTGCCTTCTCATATTTATTTAATTGACTTGTTTGTTTAGATTATGAATTATCCTATAGAACCCACGTTGTGGTGCCACTCAGTAGTTTTGCTAAGCATATAGTTGTCTTTCTTGCGTGACTGTGCATAGGTAAGAGACACGAAGGAGCCGATCCTGGAGGGTGCTGAGGCGGAAGATATGGCGGCACGACAATTATTCCATCCTATTATATTTTCTTAAATCAAGTTGAACATTTTTGGGTCTTGAACCCATGTGTGCACTCCTTTAAATTATTTAAGCTTCCGCAACATTTTACTTTACTTTCTATTGTGATCTATTTGTGATGTTGGTGCTTTTAATCATTTGAATTATTATTATTAAATGGTTTCTTCAAATTATGGATTTTACTTTTCCAATTTGCTAACGCTTCGGTCCACTAATCCACATGAATCTAATGAAGGGATCTTAGTTATGGATATCTTATCAAATTTCTTTCAGCTCATTCATATAATTTTGTTTTTGAAATAATTGTCCAACAAATCACAAATATATATCGTTAAATTTCTCCCTTCATTTTTAATATGGTTATAACTTTAAATCACAAATATGTCATTTTTTACAAGGTTATAACTTTAAATTTCTAGCGTTTAGATACAGAAGTTAAGTTGAGGTGGTTTGGACATGTGAGACGGCGGAGTGATAATGCCCCTGTGTAGAGATGCGAGATGCTTACATTGGTGGGTAGACTTAAAAGAATTGGAAGGAGTTAATTAGAAAGGACCTAGGCCTTCTTTCCCTTTATTGATGATATGACCATAGATTTGTTTGGAAAGCTAGGATATGATTGGGGTAGTTGGGCGGCATTCTAGGTTAGATGGTATAGTAGTTGATGGAATTCTTTGTTGTATGATTTGTGTTGCTCTTGTAGTGCTTCCTTCGTTAACTTTAGTTTGCCCTTTGTCTCTCTGTGCTTTGTGCTCTCTCTACACTATATGTCTTTATGATCTTTTATTATTGGTACTGTATGAGTTGGAGGTCTTTTGGAAACAATCTCTCTACTTTCAAGTAGAGGCAAGGCCTGCGTATAGTAACACAACCACCTTAGACCCTACAATCGTGGGATATGATCCAATCGGGTTGCTGTGGTTGTTGTTCTTGTTGTTGTTGATGTAACACTTACATACTTTCACAAATATATCATTGAGTTTCTCACTTCGTTAAATTTTGATTACAATATATTATTTTAAAATACTCTAAAAATTTTATCTAAAACAACACTCACAAGTTATCTGATTAGGATATAAATGCATTAAAGTTTTTCAAACCTACCATATTTTAGTTTTTCAATTTTAAAATAAAAAGTTTGGTTATGTCAAATTTTATGGTTTTTTAAATTTTTTATTAGTTACCAACTCATACTTAATAATTTCCCAGTCAGCATTGAAAATGTTACGTATTTAGTTTAGCTGGCAACTTGAAATTATGATATAAAGTGAGTAAGTTTTAGGAGCAGTGACATGAATTATTGAATTTCGCAGTATAACATAAAATCACTAATATTTTTGGAATATTCATGTGACTTTTTCTTATTTTTTAGCATTAATATCAACATATTTTACCATATCACTTCATTTTAATTTCCCTTTGTATTTAAATACTTCGTAATATATATTTCTTTTGTCCCTAAAAGTTTCTCTTTTTTTCTTCTCTCAAAGTCTATTTCTTCTTTCTATTAAAAAATCAATTTTACCCATATTAAATCTTATCCTACGTTTACATCATACATTTTCACAAATAATCAACCCATCACATCATACTTTTACTTATTACATCTATAGTGATCTGGGAAAGTCAATACCAACAAGAAAATATCCTCTCTTTTTCTTAATCTCTTTTTCTAACACCCGTATGTAGAATTGTACTTCCTCCGTTCTAGAGTATTTGTCTACTTTCGTTTTTACACACCATCCAATACACTTCTTTAATCCATTTTATCTTGTAATTTGTATATTAAAAAATTATAGAAATTATATATTAATAATCTATATGTTAAGACAAATCAAACAAGATCACACATGACTATATTTAGGCTTACACATTGAGAGAATTTGATGAGTCAAAGTGCTTAGATGAATAGTTCCAAAAGTCAAAAGTGGACGAATATAGCGGGACGGAGGGAGTAGCAATTTTACATCCCATTAAGGATTTATTAAAGAATGGATTTTGCTCAAAAATGAGTATAATTTTTTTCTAGCAAGCAAACACAGATACAATAATGAGACATATTTTTTGTGGTGAGAAAATATTCTATAAATATAATTAGAGTATTGCTTAATTTTGCATGTTTTGCTTTCGCTGGAGTTCTTTTTTGTAGGAAATAGCATTGTCCTTGTCTTCCTTGCTAGTGTCATGGCTCTCAATTACCTGCTCGTGTAACTGATCACAAAGTTGATCATGATTTCCTCTACCTGCACTCTATTATTATTATTATTATTATTATTATTATTATTATTATTATTATTATTATTATATATTATATTCAAAAACACCATAATTAAATAAAAATACTCTACATCATGAGGATTTTCACTAATTAGTACGTACTTCTTCTGTCTCACTGTTTTTTTTCATATTTACGATTCACAGAATCAAACTTTGTTTATATATTTTCATCTATTATTTGTTATAAAAAATATTCTTGTCACATTTTCTATTTTTAGAACTTTTGATATACTTTTAAAATATTTAACTTTTATTTTATAATTTTACACCATTTTTACGACAAATTCTATCAAAAAAAAAGTTTTAGTCAAAAATCATAAATTGAAAACAGACAAAAATAGTGCTGCAGAGGGAGTACTTAATATTTCTGTACATCTAAATGTGATTTAAAACGCTAATGTTGATTGAAAATTAATTTTTTTATCCAAATAGGACTTAGGTTGTTATTTTAATTTTTAATCGTGCAGATAATATCAAAAATGTTAAAGTTAAATGATACCGTTAGACAACAGTTTGGAATTGCTAGTAAATTTATTGTGAAATTGATACACAATCATTAAAATCACACAATAAATGTTAGAATAGAATACCTACTTGTTTTGTGTTTGTGATGTTCTTTCCTTCCTCTTGCACAAAAGCTTCTTTCCGCATTTGTTGTGACATCTTAATATTATGTGATACCACACTTCTCAATTGGTAAAGATAAATAAGCAAAATGAATGGTGAAGAGGAATTTGTGGGGTAAATATATGCGCTATACCATATAATCCCCAAACCGATTATGACCATGCAAATTCATTATGGCTCCGTTTGGTACACGGAATTCAAACTGTGGAATTAGAATTGGGGACAACAATTTCAATTCTACTGTTTGGTAACACAAAAATATGTGTATTTGAAATTGGTAGTGCCAAAAATGAATTGGAATTGGAGAATTCAATTTCATCCGAATCAATTCCATAGAATTTCAATTTCTAATTCAAATTCAATTCTATCAATTTCGTGTACCAAACGGACCCTATGTTCTTAAAATTTTCTTCCTTTGTATTTTTTGGCAAAGAAACTACTCAAATTATCTCTTATTTCAAAAATAGAAGTGATTTGGTTTTATTCAAAAATAAGACTATTGCCCATTTGACAATGTGACTATATATTGAGACTTTACAATATTTTTTGATATAATAATTGTCATTATTGACATTATTGGTCTTATTTTGGAGATAAAAACAATAAGATCATATTTTAGAGATAATAGTACTCCGCAAAAAGACTTCCCATTTTGATTTGGGGCAAAAATAAGGAAGTGTTAAATTATAGTTGATTTCCATTTTTGCCCCTGATGTGATGGGTAAAAGTAAGATGTAATGAATAGATTATTAGAGAAAAAGTATGATGTGATAGGTAGGATAAGAAAAAATAAGGGTAAAAGTGGTTTTTTAATAGAAAGGGAAAATGTTTTGTTGGAAGTGAAAAAAATGAAAAAGGAAGTATTTTTGAAAACGGAGAGAGTACTAAATAATGGTGTCAAATATTCTATTCGACCTAAAAACTTTATGTTCACTATTTCTGGTTTCCAACAACTTTAATTTTTATATGCTGTTTTATTGATCATTTGATAAAATAAAATATTCTAGTTATCACTTGTCGCCTGTTATTTACGAGGTCTGGATGAAATTACTTTTTTGTTTCAATTAATTTGAAAATTGATGTTGAATTAATAAAAATAATAGGTATTTAAAAATATACAAAATAAGAGATGATAAAACTATTATTTCATCAAATGTGTAGCAAAAATGAGTAAAGAGCATTGTTAATATTTAAGCTTATATATAGTAAACAGACAACTTGAATTAGAAAGGAGGCAACATCATTTTATTTTTTCAAATTATTATCTAACAAGAATAGTCTTATTTTTCACTTTTTTGCACTTTTAAATTGACTATTACTTCTCTCGGTAAAACATACTATCAATTTTGACTATGTAGTAACCTCACAATTCTCTCATTTTTGTTCAAAACACATTTCATAATTACTAATTGTTCAGTTAATAGTGTAAAAATACATAAAGTCACCAATTTCCAAGAGCACTCAAAATATTTTCCATATTTATTTCTTTTTATTAATCATTTATTAGATCAACATTATCATATCACATCTTTTTACACAACATTTGATGTAATACATAAATATGTAATTCTTTACCTTTATTTAAATAAATTGAAAATAGATTTGGTCAAAAAAGAATGTGATAAACCAAAGCTCAAGAATGTTATTTTCTCCCGCGTTTTTCACTTCACTATTCAAATGGTGAAACAATATCCTTTCTTTACATGTTTTCGTTGACAATTTGTAAAAATAATACATATTTCTTGATTTGTAGCACTTATGACGTGACCCTAAAATTTATTTTTAAATTTTACACTGGCAATGACATAAATTGAATAAAAAATAACCGCAAGTAGTCAATGAAATCCAAAACATGAAGATTATTTAACGGGGAGATTACAAATCGACGGGACTAAAAGAGCATTAAAAATGGAAAATAAATGACAATTATGCAACCAAAGGTCATAAATGTTGGTTGTGTATGGTGAACCCATTGAAAATAACTATGGGACAATATCCTACAACTGCTACATAAAAATAACAAATATTATCTTTAAAAAAAAAGAGATGTTATGGACAACAGAGATTCCTATATGAAACAAAACCAAATTTATATTGGAAACTGTGATTCCTAACCTCAAGATAGGAGCCTCTCTGCATAACTGCAAAATGGCCATTTGAAGTTTTTGTTTCAAAAGCCAAAAGGTGACATTCTCCTGCTCCCTCCTTCGCCATACCGTTCGTTCCATTTCCTCAACTCATTCATGCTAGCTGCGTCATATGCAACTGATGGTCCCACCTGAACATTAAAATCGATAAAATTACACGACCGTGAAGGGATATAGATAATCAACTACCCAATTTAGAGTCAGAGGCTATTTAGATGATTTGCCTTGGTTTTGGATTGGAAGAAGTCTGTTAAATTGAGAGGCCTTAGAATAGGAGGATTTGGATCAGCTCTGCTTCCTTCCTGTGTAACCACAAGCACTCTTATCAGATGACCAGCAAGCATTTAAGCAAAATATACCTTACAGGTGCCGTAATCCAATATTATTACCCCAAGGGGAAAAGAGATGTTCTTTCGTGGTCCTAAGGTTCACGTGTAAAAAATGAACCTTCTCACTTTTTTCATGTGCTGGCAAGTGGTTTTTTTTTTTTTTGCAAAAAGACCAATTCTTTTATGATATCAATACACTAAGGTCCATAAAATGAGCATGGACCTTAGGAGCATGTAAGAATTTGCCGGGGGGGGGGGGNTTTAAAACCCTCCAACAAAAATTCAGTATAATCCCAACAGCATTGGGGTCTTAGGGGGGTCAAGATGTACGCAGCATTATCTCTGGTAAAAAAACACAGAAAAACCAAAAATATCAATTGAATCCTACCGTCTAGGTAAACGACGAATAACAGCATCATCAAGGTCAAATGGCCGGTTTGTTGCACCAAGAATGAGAATTTGTTGACTATCTTTTGTCCTCAAGCCATCCCATGCAGACATAAATTCATTACGCATTCTTCGAGTAGCCTCATGCTCAGAAGCACCGCCACGAGCACCAAGTAAGCTGTCAACCTACATGTGCATGCAACAAAACCCCGACAGCAATAACAGATCAGCAATGCAAAAAAAAAAAAAGAAAATGTACATGATTTCTTACAGAAATAGCCGCTCATTAAGACGTTTTTAATAGCAAAGGCTTACCTCATCAATGAAGATGATTACCGGTGCCAGTCTGCTAGCAAAAGAGAACAGAGCCTTAGTTAGCTTCTCAGCATCTCCAAACCACTGCAGATGAAAATCAAAAAGAAATAAATACCAACCTTACTAAGCAAAAGTAGCATTTGCAGGAATCAACCGGAAGTGAAACTCTGTGCACACTTATGTCTTGTTTTACTGCTAAGAAATTTCTTTTACATTTAGCATTTAACAAGCAATCGCATGTTACACTTAGTAGCCCCCACTAATTGATTGAATGTCGAAATATAGGAAAAACTACTATAAACCAGTAATAGACCTAGGGGATTAAGTACCAATAATAGGAGGCATGCTACAAGATATCTACATCTTTGAGTCACAGATGGCCCAATTATATAGGCAAACTTGAACATTCAAAATGCCACAATTTCATATGTTATACCAGACTGGATCCAGGAGATGAACCAGTTTGATAAAGACAACCTCAACTAATCTTCTGGTCTTTAATTCGGCTAAATACAACAACTAAGCCTTACGCCAATTAGGGGAATAGTATTAGACTATTAGGACAAGGAGAGAGACTTGAACATGGTGTTTAAATAAAGGCATGCAAGTCGAATATATGGTTGTTTCAAAAATGGTGCACCTCAACCTCATTAACGCAATCACCTCTAGCCTCAAAGCTTCCTCTCAAAAAATAGGCCCTGATGCGCCCTTCAAGGCGGAATGCCTAATCGAACATTCTCCCTACCACGCCCGTAACATACACTTACAGGCTAAACAACCATGAGTTGTGATTAATATTCCAACATAGCCACATAGGCAAGGAGAATTCCAACATAGTCCCTTTTAATTCCCCGGCTCATATGGAGTAAATACTAGACAGGCATGCAATTAACTCCAACTAGAGTAATGATAGGGTTAAAGTATTAATTATCTTAGTTGACAGTTGACCCTATTTATTATCTCATTTTTAGTTACTTGACAGTTGACCCTATATTCCACGCACCGACCTCAACTTAGTTGATATAAAGGAAACAGTGATAACAAAAACTAAGGCTTATTATGACAGATAATGATGGCTCTTTCAATATCCCTTCTTTCTTTCTTTCTATGAAGTTTTGGGAAGCATATGCAGCGACGCATCACGGGTCTAAGTGTCTAACAGAAACAGCCTCTATGTTTTTTACAAAGGAAAGGTTAAGGTTGCACACATCTTAACCCCCCCAACCGCAGCAGAGTTGGGACTATACTGGGCTTGATGTTGTATTCAAAGATCACCAACCTATATTTAATTACCTTTTGATTGATCATTTGATTGTATGTAAACTTAGCCTCCTGTGTGACTGAGTTACTGACTGGAAATATTTTTCAAATTTTCTTGTTTTTTGGACAAGAAAACTTTTGTATTCATTATTCCTCCAAGGCTCCAAGTTTCGAACATTAGCTTCTTTCTTCTGGGTAGTAGTTATTTATTACTCAGCAGCCCACCACGTCAACTATAGTCGTAATCTTAAACTTATTAAAAGCCGCATGTGGTAAAATAAAGTAGACAATTTTAATAGGCAGCATGTGAAAATTTACCTTAGACGTAAGTGATGAACCAGTAACATTCAAAAAATTTGCCCCAGCCTCTGTTGCAAGTGCTTTTGCAATAAGGGTTTTCCCAGTGCCAGGTGGCCCAAATAGTAACACTCCTTTGCAAGGCTGAAATAAAACAATCGTTATTTACTGAAGTACTATAATATTATCAGGTAGTGGTGATTACCAAATGTGACGTACCCGCAACAGATTGCCACGTGAGAAAAGCTCTGGTCTCCGCATAGGCAGAATGACAAGTTCATTCAACGCTTTTTTCACATCTTCAAGGGCACCAACATCGCCAAACCTCACTCCTATCTCACCAGGAGGAACAACTGCTGAAATAAAGTTACGCTCATACTCATTCTTCGCAAGACTCTACAAAATGTAGAGGTGTAATGTGTTAAAGCAAGCAACAACCAAACCTGGGATCTTCATATAAAAGAAACGGGTTTCTATTCTTCAAAAGTGTAAATCAAACCTTCAGACCATGTGAAGGCTTTTTTGACATCGCTTCCTGTTCTTTTAATCTCAAAATTGCAACTTCAAGGCTTAAACCACAAGGAGAAGCAATTCACCTTAGAGTTAGTTGTGAGAGGAAAATCCAGAAACTCAAACATACATTAAGGTACCTTTCGCGAGGCAAGTACATCCTATCTCCCTTTATGTAAGGTTCTTTGCAAGATGACAAATAATGATTTTTCGCCCAGCCCACAACTGTTTCTGCTTCTGAAGAATGAAAGAGGGTCATTAGGAAACAAATTTTAGTACACTTTCCAGCAATCCAAAATCCAAATAAGCCAATGCTTCCAGATTCTTGATGACACCAGTTAGATCAAAATTAAGAAAAAAGAAACCCAGTTTTTTCATACCAACCAGCATTTGTCACATGTATACATTGACACATTCAAATTGACTTCCAGTATTTCATTCTAATACATTTGTCATGGGCATCAAACACGATTCTAGAAGTTCTAATACATTTGTCACGGGCTTGCCAAAGCTTTCCCTTCATGAGAAGGGATTTGGACTTCTAGAAGTTGTAGTAACATGTCAAAATGTGGTTAGAATGGAAACTTTAGAAGTACCAATTTAGAAAAACTAACAAAAACTAACCTTCGAACATACCAAAAAACTAGGGATGGAACTAACCACCTTGCCTATATGGCCTGTCAACAATCTACTTCATTAGTGGTGAAACCAACACTATTTATTTTATGCAATATAATTTGTCAATTTGTGTCCAAAGAAAAGAATTTTATTTATTATCATGATTGGGCTAGCTCAAGGATAGACACTAAGCGCATCCTTCTTCGCAAATGTCATAGCTAAATAACTACATCTCATGTTTAAAATAGGGGAGATGGTAAAGTGTAACTTAAGAAAGATCGTTAGAAATGATCAAGAATAAAGGAGTGTACCCATCACTAGAAATGATCAAGAAAAGATCGTTAGAAAGATCGTTAGAAATGATCAAGAATAAAGTGTAAACCTCAATCTGCAGCTCACAAATTACATTTTCTTGTATTTTCAAAGAGTGTACCCATCACTAGAAATGATCAAGAATAAAGGAGTGTATAGTATTAATAAAAGATTATAGTGACGTGCGAGTCTTTCAAAATCGTATCAGAGCCGCCGGCCTTGAGCTTAGGGATGTCAGTGGGGAGAACAAAGATGGATACCACCCCATACCTGACCTAGTTGGAGTGGGTATCCCAGGTACTTGTGTGGTGAATGAGGTAGGCGTGGGTGTAGAAATTATATTATCACAGGTTACTAGGGCAGTGGTGGATGTGTCTCTATCGGATGGGCACTCACATGCCTAATACCGCCTCACAACCCGTAATTTATTGTTGTCACAGCACCAACGCAAGGCCCAACACAAGTCTACCAATTATAGAATCGTCGGGACTACCTTAAGGGAGCACATATTGTGGTCTCCGCAACAACAATGATTGCTAGGGTTATAGATTCAATATTTGGAGCACTAGATAGAGAAACGTAGGCTAGGGGACTATGGCGATGGCAGACTTGACATGGAAAAAAGACGAGGGAAGGTTCCATGGCGTGGGTTCAGGACGCCAAGTCCTCACCTGGGCATCACCGTGAGTCCGTGATAATTATGCCACAACTATTAATTAATAATATATATATAAACGATACAAATTAAACCCGGTCATACATTTCCATAATATATCTAAAAGAGAATCATAGGGCCACCAAATTGCCTCAATTTCATAATACCCAACATTGTCAAAAGAACTGTTGTGTTCTAAAATCAAAAAATAGTTTTGATTAGTTAGAAACTTAAAGATAAACTCAAGTAAATAATTTAAAAATAAATGAAATGAATTGGTCGCATGAAAAATAAAACAAAAACACAAGAACAAAAACAACCCATCAAAATTTCATATCTAAGTTACCAAGAGGTGCAGGTGAGGCGGCTTAATTCACCAACAACAACAACCTAGTAGAATCCCACAAAAGCAGGGTTTGGGGAGGGTGTGTGTACGCAGACCTTACCCCCACTAAAAGTAGAGACGCTGTTTCCAAGAGGCGGCTTAAAGCACCAAAAAAAGGAAATGAAACAAGAGAGCCAATGTTCGAAAAGGCGTATTGTAGCATACATAAGGCATTTTCCAAGGCATAAGCTTCAAGGCGTATTGAGATGCCTCAATCTTTAAGTTCCATTAAAGACTTCAAGGAAGATTATAATCACATTAGAAAATGCATCAACCAAATCTAGCATGACATGATAAGTTTAAAAAAGGTTGATGAACGCAAAAACAAGGTTTAAAAGCAACAAGGTCTTAATATTGCATCAAAACGATTAGCTTAGATTGATGAATGCAATAAAAAAAAGGTCGTCACTATGTAAGACCCTCTAACGGCTACAGCAAGACATGAAGTCATAAGATGTTTTCAACTACGTATAGTCAATATGTGGTACCTAATTTGACATACATAGCCCTAAAATAAAAATTAAAAACTGAAAAAGATGAGGCTTACACCTTAGATTCTCCTCAGTACCTACACATTGAGGCTCTTAACCAAAAAGACATTAATTCATCCATGGTGCATAGGGAAAAAGACGGTGCTTCCCAAAACTTTGGAGAATAGCTAAGGCGTGCCATGAAGTGAAAATATACCTTGCCTTAAATGTAGTGGAGGGGGGAACTAGATGGGTCACATTAGGTGCCTGTTTGGCTAGAGCTTCAACGTTTAGCTTTAATATTTTGAAAAGACTCTAATGACGTCGTTTAATTTTGGCATTTTCAAAGTTAATTTGCACCATAAAAAAATTATCCAAAGTGCTAACACAAATTTAAAATATATTCCCAAACAAGGCCTAGGTCATCAAAGAAGACCATATGGCAAACGGGAGGTAGATGGGTAAAATTAGCTATTTCATCATAGAAGAGGAGGGTTTAAGGGAAATGGGAGAGGGGGGGTCGAATCAAGTAGCACGAGAAGAGAAGGCAGAGAGAATAGGTGGGTGGCTTGGGTTTTTGTGGATGCTCGCCAACAGAAAATAATAGAGAGAAGAGGTGGAAATTTTGGGATATATGACGTTTTTGTTTACATAGTAATGCCACATCAACATTCAACAATACATTAAACCTTGACAGAGTTAGAGTCCGGTGCACACACCCTCCACAGACCCTACTTCCATGCGATTTTACTAGGTTGTTTCCTTTTTCATCCTTCCAAAAAAACTATGTAAAGAATTTGCGGCTAAGAAAATCTTTCCCAGCTTAACCAATTCTAACCATGCCTTATTCACTTTTCAACACTTTTCTTAAAGTAAAACAGTAAAAGTGAGTAGTAGTAGTAGTAGAAACTAATAATAAAAATAAAAATAATAACTATAAATAAAATAAAATAATATTGACCATATCACACAACTACCATTATTAAGTAACACACTATGCTTTCAGCAAAATTTAAAAAAATAAAAAAATCTTACTTTGTTTTGTTAGTTTCACCCCAGTAGAATTGACAAGCAACAAGTCCAAGCAATATAGATTGTGCTCCTCAAGAACCTGAAATCGAGAATATGTTCAAAACAAATTTCCTCAACTAAGGCATCCTACACTTGTAATTTGTTTGTAAGATTAATGCCACCAGAGCAAAACTTTGGCCTACCTTGTGCAATTCAGTAAAGTTTCTCCGAGATATCATAAATTTCCTATCTTCTTCCATTTGCTTATTGAATGTTCCAAGGATATCTTCATCCTGTGCATAACAAAATAACTTACGGTTCAAAATTCTTTTCCCTTTAAACAGAAGGGTTATATTTGAGAACAAAGGTTTAAAATTATTTCCCTTTTAAATTGAAGAGCTATACTTCAGAAATAACTAGTGAAATAATAATGGAGAATATACTATAGCTATGAATAATTCCCTCGAATGAAGGGAATGTCTTACAAGAAATATGGGAGGATTAAAAGACAACTTAGAATCTCAAAAAAGAAACTTAACAGCATACATACAAATAAACGTACACATATGAACGCATGTGCATACGCATTCGTGTGTGAATGCATATACAAATACACACATGAATGCATATACTAATGTCTATACAAGTATACATAACACAACAACCTCAATGTGCTCTTATAAGTGGGGTCTTGGGAGGGCAAGATGTATGCAAACCTTACCTTTATGATGGACCCTCAGCTAAAAAGAAACCAAAGGGGTAAGACCACAGAAGGTATGAAAGAAAGAAGCAAAAACGTACACCACAAAATGAGATACCCTATTACTCGGTAAGTGAACCACCACATCTATACTTAATTAATCTAGAAATCAATGCCGCCTAAACGGAGGGTTGTATTTGTAATTTCGTGTACTCCCTACCGACCTCATCACACACATCCTCCCATCCTCTTTTTCACTCAAAGTGTAGCAAACAATTACATCTTCTACTTGGCCTTTTAAGTCCATTGCAACTTGTAAAGTTTATAAAAGTAGGCATGAAAGTGCAGAGAACAATAATGTCTTCTAATTGGCCTTAAAAGGCCGATTAGAAAACATTATTGTTCTCTCCACTTTAATGCATTCTTTTATGTGCTTTGTAGTGTACAATTACACGATTTAATAGTTGAAAAACATGTAAAAGACGTTATTGTTACCTACACTTAATGCCTCCTTTAAATGCACTTGATAGCTTATGCCATTGTTCAAAAGGTTTAAATCCCTCTATCGCTAGATCGCTAAAATTTCTAGCGCACAAAATTTCCAATGTTTCTTTCAAGCCAAGGCTTATGTTTCCTGTGTTCAAGCAATTCCTTAGCGCAAGATTAATTTTAGTGTGCCTATTAATATGGTCGGACGTTAATCCAGACCTTAGATATATTGTGATATGTCTCTATTTTTCTTCTATTTTTACTTATTACGTGTAATCCTTGTATGCTCGGAGGGACACATATATATATACATATTAGAGGCAATGAAAGAGACCAAAATAGTCTAGCTCATTCTCTCTGTATCTTAGCTCTTTCTAATTTTTGCTCTCTTGTCTTCGAGAATCTCTTCTCCATAGCAAAGAGTCTCAAAAATTGTAACATCAACAACCTAGTAGAATTTCACGAGAGTAGGATGTGGAGAGGGTGTGTGTACAGAGACCTTACCCCTACTCGAAAGTAGAGAGGTTGTTTCCAAGATACCCCCAACTCGAGTAACACAGAAAGCACAGACATAGAAAACAAAACATAGAGCAAGATATAGATAGAAAAAAGCAAGAAGCACCAAAACTTTCTCCAAAACAATAAGACAGAAAGCACAAGCATAGAAAAAGGAAAGGACTTCCAAGTCGGTGTTTATTGAATATTCTAGCTCATTTCTCTCTATACCTTAGCTCTTTCTCATTTTATATCTCTTGATTGTTACAACTGTCTTGGAGAATCTCTTTTCTATAGCGACAACAACAACCTAGTAGAATCCCACATAAGTAGGGTCTCGGGAGGGTGTGTGTACACAGATCTTACCCCTACTCGAAAGTGAAGATGATGTTTTCAAGAGACCCCACGCTCAAGTAACACAAAAAGCACAGGCATAGAAAAAGAAGCATAGAGCAAGCTATAGATAGAAAAAGGCAAGAAGCATAGAGGCAATATTGAGGAGACTTAAGAGTATATTCTACTGGAAGGGATTGACGCATGAACAAAGATGCCTCATTTTAAAGACATGCAAATGTAATAATTCAGCTTATCCTGGTCTACTCCAACCATTGTAAATCCCTACTGAAACCTGAAAAATATGACATCATAGAGGGGTTACCTAAATCTAGGGGCAAGGATGTAATTTTAGTGGTGGACAGAATGAGCGAATACGCTCATTTCGTGGTGATAACTCACCCTTATACAACAATGGAAGTGGGCCAATGCTACCTGGACAATGTGTTCAAACTGCATGGCATGCCTAACACCATAGTCAGCGATAGAGATACTGTTTCAGGCCATGTCTAACATTTATAATGTGGAGTTACCGTGTCTTCTTCTTACCATCCTCAAACGGATGGACAGAAAGTAGTCAACAGATGTTTGGAAACTTACATTAGGTGCATGTGGTCAAACACACCCAAGCAATGGTGCGAGTGGATTCCCCCAACAGAGTGGTGGTATAACACTACATTTCACTCCTCTACCTGCATGACGCCCTATGAAACAGTTTACTGGCAACCTTGCATAAAGAGAGGCTATGATTAAACACCTAAAATCCCAGTTGCAAAGAGCAAAGAACAGGATGCAGAAGCTAGCCAACTGAAGTAGATCTGAAAGGGAGTTTGTACTTGATGATTGGGTTGGGCTGGAATTGCAACCCTACAGATAGTTTAGTGTACAGCAAAGAACTAATGAGAAATTGGGAGCCAAATATTTTGGACCTTTTCAGGTCATCTCCAAGGTGGGAAGTGTCGCAAATAAATTCTAGCTTCCTTCTCATATTAACGTGCATCCGGTGTTTCACGTCTCACAGCTTAAGGATTTTAAAGGGGAGCTACCTGCGGCACCGCACATCCCTCACTGGTTTCAAGGCACTGACGCTCAGCATAGCCCTCAACCTAAAGCTATCATCAGCAGTGGGATTCAGAAGAGAGCAAACAGGGCTGGGGTGCATTTCCTAGTGAAAAGGCATGGAGTTGCGGAAGAGGAAGCTACATGGGAATGGCCTGAGGCTTTTACACAAGAGTTTCCAAGAGTTCCAGCTTTGTAAGCTTAGCTAAGGGGAAGGAATGATACAGACCTTAGATATATTTTGATATTTCTCTATTCTTCTTCTTCCTTTACCTGTTACATGTAATCCTTGTAAGTTGGAGGGACCCATATATATAAGTATTGGAGGTAATGAAAGAGGACAGAATATTCTAGCTCATTTCTTTCTCTATCTTAACTCTTTCTCGTCTTCTGTCGCTTGTTATAACTGTCCTCGAGACTCTCTTCTCCAAAGCGAAGAGTCTCCACCAATGTAAAAGAGCTGGTTTCATAATCAGCACACATTTACAAACTTAACTCTGCCCGTTAAAGATTAGCAACTTGAATTGTAACCATCGGATGAAACAAAAAAATATAAGACCGTAATCCTTTCCTATTTCTCTCCTAACAGTCGTTTCTCACATGATGCTAACCATATAGCGCTCACAGAGAGAGAGAGAGAGAGACATACACATATATACATCTGTGTATACAACTAAAGGCTCATTGCAAAAGTCACCAAGAAGCAAAATCTTGAACGCATGTTGCCTAATGTCGACGAAAACATTCTTGTTCAGGAAGTCAGCTAAAGGTGGCTGTAAAATAGCTTATTATCTAATATAACATAGCTACAACAATGAAATAACATGACAGGTCTAGGTCTACTTGAGGGATATTGATAGTCCCCTTTTAATACAAGCATCACACAACTAATACCCCTCAGCAAGATAACATATTGAGTAGGGATATGATCTTCGACACAAAGGACAAACAAATGACTTCCCTTTCATTGAGTCATGATAGAAAAAAATGATTAAATTATGGAACTATATAAATTAAAGACGTATTTTATTACAATGGCAACAATAATTTGGAAGCATGAGGTAGTCTCAATGTGTGTGCAAGCTTACACAAGCACAACAAAAATCTTGCACTAAGAAATTTGGAAGTACTAACCTTAGGGGATGGAATGAACATAATGTTAGCGAATAGCCTATGGATTCCATCATCAATGGAATGTTTTGAGGCAGGCACTCTCTCAGTAAGCTGCTTTAAAGAAAGAGGCTGTAAACTTAAACAAACCATTGGTAAGCTTAAATGTTAAATGAGCATAAAAATAGTAGTAGTAGAAATAATAATAATAATAATAATAACAACAACAATAATATTGAGGGAGAATTGCATCAAATAATGCAACCTTTATGGGGTTGAAGGTTGAACAGATAACCCAACCTTTGACTTGTTAAAAAACCACAAATTTTGTAAGTGTGGCAATACGCTGCCATATGATTGACAGGTGCATGCATGTCGCCTCTTGTTTTATAGAGCTTTGATATAGTTTTTAAATATATAAACTTTACACCAATATTTAGATAAATTGAATTGAAAATATCTTAAGCGTAAACTTGTATTGGACAAATCAAAAGGGATAGAGGAGTAACACCATACAAATAAATGGGTTTTAAAAAAATCTAATTAGTATATTTACTTTATATCTATTTAACTTATTTAACATAAATATCTAACTTATTTAGCATATTTATTTATGGCACAGAGAGCATTTGTTGTCATCTATTCCTTCTCTACGAATTCCGTGTGAAGGAACCAATTCAGCAAAAAGCTCAAGCTTGTGGTTGTAGGCACAAGAAGGGTTTTATACTCTAACAAGCCACGCCCCTCACGTGCAAGCAAGATTTGTTTTAATTTCTGCCTTCCACGTGAACATTATTTTAAAAAAATGGGTGGTGTTGAGGTTCGAACTTGTGACCTCTTGGTCAACAAGACTTTGATACCGTGTGAAGGAACCAAATAAATAAAAACCTCAAACTTGTAGTTGTAGGCTCAAGAAAGGTTTTAACATTCTGATGGCTATATACACCATTAAGTTAAAGTGTGCAACATTCAGGTACATTTGTTAAATGGAATGCCGATGATAATTATCAATTCCAACAATTAAATCTACAAAGGACAAACTACACAAAAAGGCTGCCCGTTCAGAATGTTTATTAGAAATCACACTAAATCAGACTAAAACATAGAGAAAAGTATCAAAATAGGACTTTCATGTTTTTATTCCCGAAATAAGACTTCGCATTGTGGTAATGTGACATTGTACATGTGTACATTACTATACTTTTTGGTAATGTACATGACCATGTTTGGTAATGTAAGAGCAACTCCAATGGGAGGGGTAAATGAAGAGGTAAGATACCATAATTTCCATATTTGCCTTTTCTTCACACAAATCAAACCTCCAATGGAGAAGGTAAATTAAAAGGTAATTTACCTTCTTTTATTTTGGAGAGGTATCTTTACCTCCTCAAATACAAAAGGTAAAATATTTGATGCCAAAGCCAAGTAATCTTCGGTGCATCGTCGATCTTCTATTTTTAAAATTAGACGGGATTGTGAGATATGAAATTAAGAAACAAATGGAGTGAAAGAGGAATGAAGATAGAGTTTTGTATTTGGGGATGAGGGAGACAAAAAAGCAACCATACAGAATGGCGCTTGGGACTCGTCTCTTCCCCTTGTGCGGCTGGTTGATTGCCTCAAATTAATCTCCCGAGTCATTAATCTAAAATTTGTAGAAAAGGAACATTTGACAAGAAATTAAAAAGAAATAAATTTTGAAATTAACCTTAAAATGTTTTTAATTTGGGAAAAGTATGTTTACCTTTTCTAATACCCTATATCCATTGGAATCAAATAATTTTTTAGAAGGTATAATCACCTTTTTGAGAAGGTAAAAGAGTAGAATACCTTCTTTTTTTGCCTTCTTCCTTTGGAGTTGCTCTAAATGTATTTTAAGTCCTATTTCGGAAATAAAAACATGAAAGTCCTATTTTGGTATATTGTCAATGTTTTAGTCCTACTTTGGTTTTTCTCCCAATGTTTATTCTCGAAGTAATATGGGGATCACCAACAGCAACCATTTTCTCTCATCCTTCATAGGGATGAGCCCAAGATTAATTCAAACTCCTTTCATGTCAGTCTAGAAACAAAACTTGTACTTCTCTAATTTCCTTTTAAGAAAAGGAATATGTGGCTCCCAACATTTCTCTATTTCCCTAAAAAATTCCAACAACACACTTGATTTTTCAACAACTCTATTAGACATCATGAAGTCAAACTAGGAATTTAATTTGGGGACGGAGGTAGTATAAATAAAAGATAATAACATTAGTATAATCCAAAGAAATAAGCAATGTACACAATAATATTTACTTAGATGGCAGCTTAAAGAGATTTTAAAAAACATCATGGGGAAAGGTCATGATAATTACCAGCTTAGCAAGACGCGCCAAATTTGGAAGTATCACTCTCTGTTAATATGGGGGTTTGGGGATAAAGAAATGACATATAAAAGATGAGAACATCATGCTTTAAAGTAATGAAGATGGAATAACTTGCGAATTTCTCTTTAATATCATACTCTAAAAGTATCAAAGATGGATTTACTTACAAAATTTTCTTTTTCTTTTGATCCGCTCTCAATCTTGTTTTTGCCACAAATCAAAATGACTGGTCCACGTAACTGATCAAACATTTCTTGCACCTTCTCAAAAAACTTTTTTCGGTTTGGTTTGGACACAGTTTTAGAAAACCACAGAGAGGAATCTGGAAAGTAAACAATAAGTGGCTGCACAGACTTTAGGACCTGCATTTACAATACAAAAAACTTGGATAACATGAAGCCTTTGACCTGCAAGTAAATGAATAAACAATCAAATGATTTTCTTCATGAATCCAACTTCCCACCTCACTAAGTGCCTCCATAGCAATGTATATCTCTTCAGCCTGAACGTCATTGTCATGTTCAATGTGCTTGACTGGAAAATAAATGAATACATAAATAAAGCCGATAGTTTCTTGAAACATTGAGCATACTGTGAAGCAAAGTATCAAGAACCATGATGTCTGATGGGTTAGAGCACAGTCATATTGGTTGGCCAAAATCACATATGCTGATTGAAAGGGCAGTGTAGGCTTCATGTATCCAAATAATTTAGACTATGTAACAGATGAGATCTATGATTTACTGAAAAACGAAGGCAACAAAAAATGAAATTCAACTTCTCCAAACATCTCTTTAAAATTTAGAAGGAGAATGCATCCAGAATAAGTGCTTCATTGCATTTCATTGGTTCAGACTAGAAAGAACAGAATTATGATTCTAACACATTGAATACCCGTACCGTGTATCACAGAAATGTTACTCTAATGGATCTGATCTTCCAATTAATGTTTTGGCTTTCTTGAATCATTTGGAAAGGAAATGATGAGATCCAAAAATCCAAAAATTGTACAGGGTAATTAAAAGGAATTTAAGGAACTGGTGATCTACTAATGCAAGCCCATCCACGGCCGGCATGATGCAATTTGCATTCTTATACTACTAATATATTTCAGATTGAAGATTTAAACTTAAGTGGAAGTTACCTATTGCACACATGGTGTGCTCGGATTGTGGAAATCAAGTTGAAAAAAAGTATATATATTCCATACCCCTATATATACTCTATATTGATTTATTATGCATGTGTTTAGTATGTGTGTTGATATGACATGCCTTAGATGAGTGGGCACGGTGGTCTCACCTCAGTTATTGAAATTATCTAGATGGACATTGTGTAATCATGTGGTTTCTTTAAGTGGTTCATGTATGAAGATACTGTGTATTCCCCGAGAGTTCAGTTCAACATATTAAAATACTAAAAACGAGCAGGGTTGATCTTCAAGTGTTAGTTAATTTTGATTATGTTCTTGACGCAATGTCTGCCAAGCTGGAGATTCATGGGGAACATGTTCATGAAGGATGTTGCCCCACGTGAATATTAATTAGAAACCATCACAGCACCCGGCCACCCACTACATCATCCTGTGCCTCGCACGTTTTCATGGCTATTAGATTCATTTTCAAATTTTAGCCAACAACTCCATTGTCTTCTTGGTTGGCCGCTCGCAACTCCAACACCGCCCTCAACAGCATCAACTCCATCATCAAATTTGATACCACTACCACGGTACCAATTGTGTGGCATGTGACCCTGCTGCAATAAGATGTACCACTCATTGAGTACAACACTGTTTATGCCAATGCATGTGTCTGAAAGCCACTAGAATATCGATCACGAAGGCAACCAATGGATTGTTCCAAAAGTATGTGATGTCCAACATATCTTGTGGTTCTCCTTCCACACCAAAGTCTCGTACTTGTGCTCCTCTAAGGGCCTGTTTGGATGGTGATTACATTAGTGTTACTAGAAATCAGTTATTAGAGTTAAGATTTATAGGTTGTTGTTTGTGATCTTGATTTTTGTAATATGGTGTTTCGATGGTTATGGTCCTAACGCCTGACTCGTGTGATTTAATGTATGACTCAAAAACATTAGTTTTGGAGTAAAAAACTCAAAATCATGATTTCAATCATGTTCCAGACAACAGGTGTAAAATCATATACAGAGTTCTTGAAATCAAAGTCTAACTCAAAATCATTTTTCATCCAAACATGCCCCAAAAGTTTCAAGGGGAATGAAGAAGAGGACTAGGGCAAAGTATATCAAATTGTTGTTTGGGATGTGGTTATTCACACTCCAATACTCAACACATTGCTTCATATTAATCATATAACAACAACCCAGTAAAATCCCATGGGAGTAAGGTTTGGGAGGATGTTTGTACGCAGGCTACTCGAACTTAGAGAGGTTTCCAAAAGACCCCTGATTCAAGTAACACAAAAAGTCAGAAAGCACAGAGCACAGAAAAAGGAGCACAAAGCAAGCTAAAGATAGAGAAAGAAAAATGCAATGAAACAACAAGCACAAAGCATATGAACCATACATTGACAAGGACAGAAACTACCACCAGACCCAAAACGTCGACTCAACTATCCTAGTCCTATCTCTCCAAACACTCCTATCTAAGGTCATATCCTCGGCAAGGGCCAAAAGTCTAATGTCATGTCTAACCACCTCCTCCAGACTCTTCTTGGGTCTACCTCTTCCCACATTCCCGCCACCACCGAAAGCCTCTCACATCTTTGCACCGGGGCCTTAGAACTCAGTTGTTTCACGTGCCCAAAGCACCTCAACCTAGCTTCTCACAGCTGATTCTCCATAGAAGTCACTCCAACTCGTCCCCTCATAACCTCGTTCTGAATCCTATCAAACCTCTCCTGCCCAGTGCCCACACGTCCATTATAGCATCTACATCTCTGCAACATATAGTTGGCAAATGTGGGTTTTCTTAACCACACAACACTCTGCTTCGTACAACATAGCTTGTCTAACAACGCTCCTGTAGAACATCCGTTTCATGCTTGCCGAAATCTTCAACTTCAATATGGTGAGCAGCATTCCCGTATATATCGAACCTAGGTAACGGAACTTGTCTCTCTCAGGTATTAGATGGGAATCAATCCTAACTTCCACATCCAATTTCGTCGTTCGACCCCTGAAACAACATTTCATGTATTCATTCTTAGTCGTGCTGAGTATGAAATCTTTGGATTCCAAGGAAAGGTGCCATAACTCCATCTTGTCATTAAGTCCCTCTCGCGTCTCATCAATCAGTACAATATTATCAGCAAGCCTGGACACCCTGCAGCAACCCTGGACACTCTGCAACAGGACGTCCATCACCAAAGCAAATAGGAAGGGACTAACAGCAGCCCCTGATGGTCTTCACCCTAATCCTAGCCCCATCATACATATCTCTGATTCTCTGATTGCACGGATGTATACAACTGGCACCCCTTAAACTCAAGACACCTCCACAATATCATATATGGGTTATTTTCATAAATGACAGGTTTCTAATACTACATTACTACCATTTGATCAAGACAGAGATTTGTGATTGAGGTAACACTTTTAAGGTAGAGAACAAACTTCATGAGGGGAGTCATATTATCATCACCATTATTATTATTAGTATCAATATTGTTATCATTATTATTATTATCACCATCATCATCATTATCATCTTCATCATCATCATCATCATCATCATTACAATTATTAGGGAAATTGGACCAAAACACCACCCTTTAACTATGAACGATTGGACAAAAATCCAAGGAAAACTTCACACCAGTACTCCCAGATTTGGTTTATTATAAAATAATACTCCTAGATTCTCTTTTGCATGAGAAATCAGCAGATTTTACATCGCAACTACAACCTAGCTCAGTCAGCTTCAGACATAATCACGTTGAATTATTTTGGCTAACATGGCATCGGAAACATTGAGTTGTCAACACATCTAAAGTAATGGAATTAAATTCGGCACCATTTGGACTTTTTATGAAAAACTTGAGAGGGAAACCTAATTGAAACTGGTGAAATCATCCGTCTCCAAGAAAGGTATTAACATTTATTAAGTTATTCAAATAAGTCCCCTAATTTTATTACTTTAGATGTGTTGTCAACTCATTGTTTCAGATATCATATTAACCAAAATACTTTTGCGTAATTAAATATGACATTGACTGAGCCTGGCTGGAGTAGCAATATGAAATCCAATAATCTTTTGGAGTATTGGCATGCAAAAAAGGATATGGGAGTAATATTATATAATCTGTCAAATCTACGAGTATTGGTGTGAATTTTTCCAAAATACAAACTTTGGAATTGGCCAAAATATAACCAATGTCACCTCATTTGGCTAAAAAAACAATCTAAATGTCGATGAAGTGTGCTTGAATACCTATGTTGTACAAATAAAACAAAAATATTTTTGTAAAAAACTTGGAGCACATGATTGCTCGTGCTCTGAGTGGGGACATATAAATAGCTTGAAAATTTATAATTCTACATGCTTGATGCATTTAATTTATGTGTTCCAGCTTTGGGAACAAAAAAACCCTGGGCGTCAATATATAGTTTCTCCTTATGCTTTCCTAGTAATAGTTCAAAATCAATATGTGGGTAATGATCACCTTACACAAATTTAACACACTCAGTCTTACATAAAGATGCAAAATCATGTGGTCAAATGCAAAAGCATATTTGTAGAATTTTTTTTGGGATATAAGAATCCGACTGAAGAAAGAATACCAGGTATCCAGTATATTGATGGCTTAGCAACTTCTGGCATGGCCATGGGTTTCTCACCCTTCTCTTCATCCATTTTGTTATCAAGAATAACTGCAACTTGGTCACCATTCAACTCATACACCTCCCCTCGCTGACCACTGGCTAATGTTCTGTAGATGATGCAGAAGTCAAAAGCATTACAAATGAAATTTCCTTTGTTTTGTAGATGATGCAGAAGTCAAAATCATAACAAACGAAATTTCCTTTGATCTGTAAAAGCACACTTGTATGTGTGTGTGTGTGTCTATAAAAGGATATTAGAGTAGGAAAACGAAATACAAGTAATTTATGAATAGAGAAAGAACCTAAATCATTGAAAAACCATTGCTGAGACTACATTTCAAGTATGCAGAAAAGGATATCAAAACATGACTATTTTTTTGAAGCTCAAAGATAGAAAGTAGGTAACATATATAATTGTATATTGATTCATTCCCACAATTAGGTACAGGCACTAAAATTGCATTGTAAAGTAAAACCCAAAAGAGTTTCCCCTCCATCACAAAAGAGCCTTTTTCCAAACATTTTCCCCAAAAAAGTCTACTTTTGCTAATGAATCTGTATTTTCATGTAGTTTGCCAAAATGCAAAAAGAGTCTGAGACAAGTAATATCAGATTAATTTAATTAACCATCAAAAAAATAAAAAGCAAAAGTATGATTCATGATTTATGACAACCGTAGCTTGCCAGAAAAAGATGTACCTTGGTCAAACATGACTGTTTTTAAGGTAGAGCTTAGAAGTAGTATTTTTAGGCCTTGATTTGGAGAGAACAGAACAAATATAGCTCATATATAAACTCTTCAATGGAAAATTGTAAAATTTAGTGAATGTGCATCTTAGCGAGAAATTTAGCACATCATGGTTTGTTTTTCAAGAGGGGACTAGTTTCGTGTGTAGACTCAAACTCTCTCTAAGGCTTAAGGTGATCTCCTCATGTCTGGTTTGGAAGGGTCAACGATGTGGGTTCAAGAGTTTTGTCAGATTTGAAGCAAATTTTAGTGCTCTAAATCTTAGACATCAACAAGTAAAATCCCACTAATGGGGTTTGAAGGGGGTGAGTGTATGCATACTTTACCCCTGCATACAAAAGGTTGAGAGGTTTTTTCCAAGAGACCACCTCAAGCACAAAGGACAAAGGTTAGCTGTTATTGTTCACAAGAGATGACTCTCAATAGATACTAAAATGACATTTGTTCAAACATTTGGAGACTAAAGATCTTGCCATGTCAAAACATTTCTTAGGAATTGATGTCCCATGTTAAAAGGGTGATATAACAATGAAAGTGTGCTTGTTAAAATATGGAAGCAACATGTGTGTTCAACTGCAAATCAGTTGACACTTCTATAGATCCCAATGAGAAGCTCTCGATCAGCAGGGCGATAGGGCGTTCAAAATCAAATAGGCATTGATGGGAGAACTTTATCAAATAGTTACATCTCTAGACAATACAAGAGCATTTCCAGGTGACATCCATAAGGATAGTGTTATCACTTGTCAAAACTCTGAGATACATTAAGAAATCCCCTGTGGTGGGCTATTATAAAAACACTAGGGAAAAACAAGAGTTTTGTGCTTACACAAATGAAGATTGGGTCAGAAAACTAGGGCCTAAGGGTATTAACCGTAATATATTAGCATATGAGTGGTGGTTTCTTTAGGAAGGAAATTCGATCTGTTCAAAAAACAAGTGGAATCCAGTGCACAAGCAAAATAACAATCAATGGCACTTTGCTCATGCGAACTTTTGCTCAAACATTTCCAACCCAAAGCCAAATTTTTGTGACAATTTAGCAGCACTACATTAAAAACCCAATCCATTTTTTGTTGAAGAACAAAACGTGTTGAGATGGTGAGTAGCACTTCACTCAACAAAAGGTCATATCCAGAGAAGTTTTCACTGCAGTTGCAGGCTCAAACGATCAACGGACATTCATATTTACCAAATCATTGAGGGGACCTACACTGGAATTTATTTTTCAAGAAGCTTGGAGGGTATTATTTATGATCCAACTAGGGAGGCATTAAAAAAATCTCAAATGTAGCACACTTTAGCTCATATGCAGCACATCGAGCAAACATAGTTGTAACAGCGCCAAGGCGAGGCGCGGCGCCAGTGTACCGCCATGACACCTAGACGACTCTTCTGAAAAATTTGATATTTAACGCCAATATTATGATAAATCTATGCCATTACTCCAACAAATTATGTATTTTACGCCAATACTCCTAAATTTGATACTAAATGACATCATTACTCCAACAATTCACATATTTTTATAATATTACTCCCCTCATCACCTCACTTGCTTACTTACGTGCCACATGAATTTTCATTTTATGATGTGGCAAGTTTTCTTTTTTGACAGTTGCTTAATCACCCGCCACATGAACTGCCGGTTTTATATTCATTTTTTTTTACATAGCTGTGAACTGGTATGCAAGTTTCCATCTTTTTTTCTTTTTTTACAAGCGAGGAATAATCCACCAGTTTTTATTTTTTTCTTAATTTACATAGCGGCACATTGGTCTACCTATTTCTTTAGTTTTTCTTTTTTTAAGCTCAAGAAGCGGGAGAATAATCCGTCGGTTTCCATATTTTGAAAAAGTAGTGGTGGATATATCTGTTGGTTTCATATTTATTATGCTCGAGAAGTGGGGGATTACTTTGCCGGTCTTGATATCAATTTTTTTAAACAAAAAACCACAGATAACATAATCAGTTTTCATATTAATTCAATTTTTTTAAATGGCGGTGGAACATACTGCATGTTTCCATATTAATTTTTTAGAGCGTAATTAGCGTCGAACAAGAGCAGAAAAAGGCCAAAAGCAACCGGCGGACTGGTCCGCCGCTATGTAAAAAACTTTAAAAAAGAAAAAATTAAAAATAAAAACAGGCAGACCATGTGGTGGAGTGATTAAGCAAGAATTAAAAAAGGAAACTTGCCATGTCATAAAATAAAAATCCATGTGGCAAGTGAGTAAGCAAGTGAGGTGGCAGAGGGAGTAATATCATAAAAATATGTGAATTGTAGGAGTGATGGTGTCATTTGTTAAAATAGTGAATTTGTTGGAGTAATGACGTAAATTAGTCCAAAATATTAAGCCTTAGCAGGAAATCAATAGATGGTTGAGACTTGAGAGGCGTATTTATTTATAGGAGAGTGGTGATGGAAAACCGTATGAAACTCTTTAATAATCTAATGTCATAGGACACTTGATGATCTCCATCGTTCTAAGACAAGAAGGTGACAAGCACATTCTCAACAATATCATGATTTACAAACAAACCTGCCATGAATTACAGTATAAACATTTGTTGGGCCATCAGAAGTAGCCATCTTCCCCAAAACAATCCTGTGTGAATTAGATAGTGTCAACTCTTCTCAAATGCCCTTAAAAAAAAGTTGGCATTTGATGTGTTAAGATTGAAAGTTGAATGAGACAACATGAATGGCATGAGAAAAAATGCAAGGATAAGGGCCTTATGTATGCTACAAGCCTACAACTGTGAGAGTGTGAATGCTTCTAATTAATTTTGATCCATTATTTACTTTGGAGCTAAAATTTCACCATTTTTTGGCTTTGGGGTGTGATGGAATAAATCAAAATGGATTTCTAAACTGTCTGCGCTTCATTAATTAATGAAGTAGCAGTTAGTCAAGCAATGCAACTTTCGACGTTGAGCCGGGGGTCTCTTTGGAAACAGCCTCTCTACTTTCGAGTAGGGGTAAGGTCTGCGTACACACACCCTCCCCAGACCCTACTCTTGTGGGATTTAACTGGGTTGTTGTTGTTGTTGTTGTATTTACTTTGGAGTTTGAACTCAATTACTCCCTCCAGCCGTAAAAGAACTTTGCACCTTTCTTTTTCATCCATTCCAAAAAAACATTACTTCTCCACTTTCCCTTTTGGAAGATGAAAACGTGGCTCTTATCATTTCTCTATCTATAAATAAATTTCAGCCACATTTTTTACTTTTAACCAAACACCTTTAAATTTTATAAACTTTTCTTAAACTCCATGAGGTAAACTTTCTAGTTCTTTTAGGGACACAGGCAGTATTATTTTAATCTAGATATTTACCAATAGTTTTTGTTGAGTTTCCTTTTCAGTTTAGGAATGTAAGCCTCCATTGATGAAGACAATTTTTAAGACTATTATAAATCATTATGGAGTAGTTTCTTCCTTATTGTATGGATCTTCCTTTTCATTATTTTGTGCTTGAGTTCTCCTAGACACCATAGGGTGGAGTTCTTCCGTGGAACACAGGCCTGTAACGGGAAGTATAAGCAAAAAAACATATTTATTCAGTTCTGTGGTCAGCCTTTATGGTCGGTACCATCACTGATGACCCCGCCTTCGAAGCAAGTCAGCAAATTATTCAAAAATTGGAATCTCGTCCAAACAAGATCAAAAAATATATCAACCATTGTCGACTCCCTCTCTCTTTTAGGCTAAGGTGGAATGACGCAAGGTACAGAGTTCATGATGATGGGCAACCCTATAAGTCTGCAAGGGGACACTACCGAAGAACCCTATATCTATGGGGGTGGCACATATTGTTTTAGTTTAATGTTAAGGAATGTTAGCCTCTATTTAAGAGGTAAAATTTCATTTATTATCAAAAATTATGGAATAAAGAGTTAAGAAAAATTCCTTCTTATTGTTTGGATCTTCCTTTTCTTTTTTGCCTGCTTGAATTCTCCTTCTTGACGCTTTTGAACGCCTTTACAAGGATATTGAGGAGAAAGGCAGTGTTAATCCATTGTTCCGGCTTGCTAAGGTGCACGAGAGGAAGGCCCGAGATCTAGACCACGTGAGATGCGTGAAGGACAGCGATGGTAGAGTATTAGTTGAGACTGCCAAGGTGGCTAAGCGTTGGGGGGAGTACTTTAGTGAACTCTTAAATGCGGGAGGAGACCAGAGGCTAGTTCTTGATGAGTTGGGACATCCTGGGGCTTCTCGTGTGTATTGCCGGCGCATTTGCTTGGAAGAGGTGGTTCGGGCTCTCCGCGTGATGCGTAATGGGAGAGCTGTGGGACCAGATGAGATTCCAGTGGAGTTTTGGAAGCATGCGGGTCGTGATGCGTGGGTTTGGTTAACCAAACTCTTCAATGTTATCCTCCGGACAGCATGGATGCCTGATGAGTGGAGGGAGAGTCTCTTGGTCCCTCTGTTTAAAGGCAAAGGTGACATTCAGAGCTGCGAGAATTACAGAGGCATCAAACTCCTTAGCCACACCATGAAGGTTTGGGAGCGAGTTATTGAGTATAGGGTGCGGAAAGAGGTTTGCATCTCGGAGAACCAGTTTGGTTTCATGCCTGGCAGATCGACTACAGAGGC